AGGGGGTGGAGGGGGTGGTGTTGTGGAGCATATGTGGACACAGATAAAGTGGCGCTCCAGAAAGGCTTGTGAGAAGACGGAGCATCTGACTAACCAGCGATGTTCAAACAGAGGCTTGCAAACACACAATCAGCAGCAAAACAGGTGCAGCGAGTGAAACACACACGTTCTTACTACACACGGGCAGATTTAAATCCTGGTTATGGGGGTGGGGGGGGGGGGGGGGGCATGTCTGGGGAGCACAATATGAGAGGGGAGGAGTTGAAAAACAGGAAGAGAAAATAGTAGAAACAGGCACCGTCTACATGGGAACTATGTACGTTTTTATGGTTTTAGCCTCGTGTCTGCACGAAGAAACGTTTTAGGAACGGCCAAAAATGGTAATTTTTTTAATTCTTGTTTTCATGTGGACGGCCTGAACACAACCGTAGAAAACTATGACATGGGCACAGATTCCAGTCAAATATTTTGTGCTTGTGAATCAAACTGCGCATTAAGTTTTGTGATCTTCGAGTTGAATTTCTGCTTTGAGCAGAAGGATGGAGGACGGCGCCAGCGCTTCTGCGGCTCAGGTGAGCATTACGTAATGGTTTGGTGGAACAAAAACAAAATCCATGTCCAGATACTTTGAAAATCACGTTTGGTAGCGCTGGCGCCGTCCTCCATCTTCAAAATGTACTATCCTTCCAGGACCTGCAGCCACCCTGACAGTCAAACCCATCTGTTCTCTGATTGGATTGTTAAATATGTGATTGACATGACATCGACCAATCAGCTGACAGGAAGAAACATCTGGTCATTATTCATACAAGGTGAAGCTCACACGCAAGTTAGGGAACTTGAGCGCTGAGTTTTATACCGTATGTAGTTTTTGCTTTGTATCTGTAAACAAAACGTAAAAACAAAAATTATACTTTTTTTTTTTTTACACGCACACATGCTCAAAGCAGAACTTCTCGGCCATTTTATTTCACAAGATAACAAAACTTAATTCACAACTACGCATTCTGATTTACAAGAACAAAATGTATGACTGGAATTTGTGCCCATATCATAAATCCACATCTAATCCGACCCGCGAGCCTAAATGTGTCAGACGTAACCAAATGATTCGTGCTCGTGTTTGTGCTGCAGATGATGTTTTCTCAACTACTAAAACCTTTGACACTACAACAAACACTGATGAACAACTAGATAGAGCAGTTGTACACTTGATATTCACCAAAACCGATGAGGCCGAGGGTTTCTCCACGGATGCGCGCGGCACCTGAGGCCACCTCGCGGATCTGCTCCACGCTCTGGACCCGCGTGCCCTCCCGGAGAGCCTGGTACAGCCAGGTGTTCCGCCTGTAAAGGTTGAGGATGTGGCAGATGGTGGAGTCGGCCGTCTCCTCCACAGCTGCGGAGGGAATGTTGCACACGGCGATGCCTGAAAGGAAGGGAACACGGAGAGGCCAAAATTAATTTGGCTAATGGCAAAAATCAATGCTGTAATTCTTATCAGTGCTCATCCGACATATGTTTAACCCACGGAGAGCTGAGGCTCAAACAGCTGTCTAAAACCTGAGGATGCTGGGTAAGAAAAAAAAAGTCTCGGCCTCTATCAAAACGAGACGCCGCCACAACCAATTAATTACAGCTACCACAAAAATACAAGAACTTACCGTATTCTTCAGACTATAAGGCGCATTAAGCGAAACAAGTTAATTGACAGATTTTTGGGCGCCGTGTACCACACGGTACACCTGGTTCGAGGTTAGTAAGCACAACTAGAATTAAAACATAAGTTGCACCAGATTATAAGACTCACTGTCGATTTATGATTAAATTAATTGCTCCTTATAGTCTGAAAAATACGGTAACCAGTTTTGCCAATATAAAGCTAATAATACTCAATATGGCAGTAGTTGGGAGTCATTCACAACAAGTACACAGAGCACAAGATCTCGTAATATTCCATGAGATTGTGCATAACTTTATTTTTTCTAGGTGAGTTTCTTCATTACCGTAATTTCCGGACTACAAGCCGCTACGCTTATACAATGCTGCGGCTTATTTATGATTTTTTTTTGACGGGCTAACAAGCTTCATGCCACCAAAACATTGAGCTTCGTCACACCCAGGCGCGCACATAGCTGCCCAATACACGTCTCTCTTGGTGGTAGCGATCAATAACTTCCTGGTAGACTACTGTATTTATTTATTTTTTATCAGCCGTGTTACAGGCGCTGTTCAGATTTATTTATATTTTACTATATTTGTGTGTGTTACCAGTACATATTTAATTAAAAGTAAAAAATATATATATTTCTATGTAAATATCTCATGTTACAACGTGAACACCCACGGCTTATAGACAAGTGTGGTTTATTTATGTAAAACTTTAATTTTCTTTTTAAATTTAGCAGGTGTGGCTTATATTCAGGTGCGCTCAATAGTCCAGAAATTACAGTAATTTATTCTAATTTTATTAATTATTCTTTCACCACAATAAACACATTGTTTTTTCCACTTTAAAACATTTCACACATGTCTGCACCTGACCTGTTTAGATCTTAATTGCTGGTAATTTTTTTGATATTATCTGTTATTTGCTATATCTTGTGTGATTCCTTTGTACTGAAACTCTGGCACAAAAATTTCCTGCGGGATCAATAAAGTTCCATCTTATCTTAAAATATGGTGATGATCTGAATACTTCATGAAAGGCAGCGTGTGATATGGCGTTTAATTTTAAATGAGGTTTTGCGTTCTGTGTTGCCTTGAAATGGGAAATGTCCAGGTGTTAAAAAAAACAACCTGTATTTGTGAGTTTCAGAGACTCCGTCAAGATAAATTCCAGCAAGTTTCCTTCAGCCATTTAAACCAGTGACCTTGTGATATTACCTCGCCTTTTTTCTCCAACAGGACTTTTTTTTTTAAGCCCCTCTGCCTGCTCTCACTCTCCACTAATGTCCTCATCCCACTCTGTATCTCAGAGTAACAGCGCCGTTGTCTCTGGACGGCAAAAAATAGCCAGTGTGTTCAATCAATGGCCTTCTTTTCTTCTCCTCCAGAACAGCCGTCATATCTTGTCGAGGCCCGATAGCTTTTTGACTCCTGTGCTGCACAGGCAGAGTGCTTTCGCTGAGTGGGTGGCAGTTAGACGCAGTATCTGGTATTGGCAGGGAAATGGCAGCTTTGTCAGCTGTAAGAGCTGTTCGAGCCACCAGCCTGCTGATACGAGCCCCCGGTGGCGGTTCAGAGAAAACCCAACTCCTCTTCCCTCCCCCTGCACGTCTTTCACTCTGTCCCTTTGAACGTTCTGGCTCGCAGTGGGATCGTCACGGTTCATCGGACTATCTCTGAAAATCCACACACAGAGACGGTAAACAAGCCGACACTTTTATAACAGAAAAATCACCATCAGCTGTTCAGTATCTTATTTTCCTTAGAACTCCTCCTTTGAATGATCTGTATGGTTTTCCAAATCCCATAATGCAGCGATTTGAGGTATCCCCAAAGGACTCAGTTAAATCAGATCACTGACGCCTGAGGTAGCGTGTGTCACTGACAGACAAATTATCAAATAAGGAAGACGGCAGCAACAACTGTGACAAAATCAATACGACAACACAGGATACGGTATATTTCCAAGCGGTGAACACACCCAAACACCTGTTAAAGCTACTCAGGCGTCAAGGTTTTTCCATTTAATGCAGAAGTTCTCAAACTTTTTATGCCATCTTTAGAAAAAGAAACATTTCTAAGCCCTCCCTCGGCTCAGTAAGACTTAAACAAAGATTTGTTCTTTAGTTTGAAAATCTAATCAAACAGAAACCGCACTTTGCTAGAACAATGAAAGTGAACCACTCCATCAGCCTCTGATTATTGAAAATAAATAAATAAATCAAAATGTGCAATCACCTTTTTAGAACCACGACAATAGGCTTTAATCAATCCCAACAAACGTATCAGCTCAGTATTCTTGCAGCAATAATGGCTGCACTGATTCCATTTTAATTGCGTTTTGTAAAAAAGAACGACACCACAGTTCAATCTGTGCAATAAACACAATAAATAAATAAAAAACAAGTGCAGGTATTTGATAATGAATAAAGTCCCTTTGTGAGCCAAGACTGTAGTCACTATCGCAGCATTAGTGGCTTAAGGGCCGTCCACATGGGAACAGTTTTTGTGAATATGCAAAAGGTTTTTGTTTAGATCGTTTAAGCCTTGCGTCCACATGGAAATGGTGTTTAAGGAGACTCAAATCTGTAATTTCTAAAAAAATAGTCCAAACAGAGTGAAAAAAATGTGTGTTTTTGTGTAAATAGACAAAAAGCAAACTTTAGAAAATAATAATGTCATCACCCAACTCTAATCTGACCTACGACCTGGGGCGTCTTCTTTTTCTTGTGTTTACATCCAGCGTGAAATCTTTACACTCCAAGCATCGTTTCCAGTTTCTGGTGTGCGTTACAACGCCTTCTACAGGCCTGGCATAGTTACTACATCGTTTTGGCAGTAGTGGGCATAGCTACCAAAAAGAAAAATTAGCTTTGCTAATGCTAAACATGTAAAAAGAAAAAAAGCAGAAGTTAATGCTAAACTGTTAAGACGACTCAGTCTGTGTCACACGTCTTTTTCTACTTCCAGTTGAAGCTGCATCGACCAATCATGTCTTGTCACGTGTACACGTAAGCCAATAGCGTGCATAACGGACTCTTCAAGACCCGCCCACAACAGACAGGAACAAGTTTGTGAACTTCATTAGCTGGCTTAAAGTTGGTGAAACCTAATTTGGTGGAAGCTAATTCTGCTAACAGTTTCCAAAGTTTGCGAATCCACTAAAATAAAAATGTGTGCCGCTATTAGCCGTTAGCGGATTAGCGGAACTGTGCCCACCACTGGTTTTAGGTAATTTTGATGTTTTTGTGTGGATGAAGATATTTCAGAAAACAGTGGGTACAAGGATATTTTTAGAAACGACAAGTGAAAAGATTATTTTGTAAAAACTATCTCCGCTGTATTTTTTCTGTAGGTGATTATCATCAAGTTTGTTTTTTTAAAACAAGTGGTTCACCTAGGATTTATTGTTTTAGCGCATTATTGTTTTATTTTTGTTCTCGACTTAAAGCTGTCAAAGTTTTTACACAACATACAAACAGGTCTTATTATTTTTATTTTATTTTTTTTACCATTTACTGTAATTCCAACAGAAATCTCCTATCTTTATGTTGTTTAATTTAAAGCAGCCCTTCCCCCCCTCCATTTCTCAGTAGGTTCATGTTTACACACTGGCACATGTGGTGTGTAAACCGAGTCTAAACATCAACCAGTACACACACTGGACGTCTCGCTGAAATCCAGCTGCATTTAGTGACACCTTCCACCAGCAAACTCTGTTCTTTTAAGAAAAAAACTATTTTAAGTCGTCACTTTTATCCAGGTAACGTGTCGGCTGACCACTAAAGAGTGGGTCCATTCAGTTTGTCTAATCGTCATGGAAACGTGTTTTGTGCAACATAAAAGCACGTCTCATTTGCAGCTGTAAACTGTTAGGACCTAGTTCCTTTAGGACCATAAAATGAAGTCAAAATAGAAGTTATGGTTATGCACCCCTCAGAGAACGACTGCTCTGATGTAAAGGCCATGGCTCCACAAAAATAAATAAAAATAATAAAATCTTTCTAATCACTTTAGTACATGAGTGTTGTGTTTTGGGTGTGACAGTTTTGAGAGTTCGCACCGAGCTCCCCGGCCGCCTTGATGTCGATGTTGTCGTATCCGCTGCCGATGCGGATGATGATGCGCAGCGCCTTGAACTTCTCCAGGTCCTCTCTGGTCAGGGTGATGGTGTGGTACATCATGGCTCCCACTGCCTCGTTTAGCACCTGCACACACGATTTCACAAAACTCAACTGTGACACCCAGGAATTTTGATCTCTTTCCAATTCTTTATACTTTCCCTTGTCAACAAGGGGACAACAATTACAGGATCAAGTTCATTCACTTGACACATCCTGGAAGAACTACAGATGCAGCATGGTTCGTTTACAGACCTGCTCTGGCAACAAGTTACTTTAACATGTTTAAAACAACTGTGTTAGTATTATCTCAGTGTGGTTAGGTCAGAAGCTTTTGTCTGAGGAGGACCAAAGTGTTGCTCCATTGTGCTTTTTTCTGGTTGTCCCACAACAAACACCTTGGAGGCGTTTTCCTATCAGACCTCCCTCTGTGGTTTGCAGCCAGTTCTTCCCAAAACTGACCAGCAGACGGGGCTACAGGTGGGAGGACTGGGTGAGACAGAAAACTAGAGCTCAGTAATGCTGGGAGGAGGTATTGTGTTGGTGTGTGCGTGGGCTGTAGGTGCATGTGCACAGAGAGATGCAGTGTTTTGTGAGAGGAGAGCATCTGCTGGCTCAGAATGATGCACAAACAGCAGTAAAACCAGTGCTGTAGTCTACGTGATACGCGAGTATACGGTGTAGAACCATAAAAAAATGCTTGGGAATTTCCACATACGGACAACGGAAGTAAAATAAAAAATAAACAAAAGTAAATAAAACGTAAAGAAGAGGTTAAAAAAAAATCCAACCAATGAAATCACAGGCGAACTTTCATTCCAGCCAATCAGCATCTTCTGGAGTTTCGGCGCTGACGTGCGAAGAAGCTAAGTAGCTACAAACAACATCTAGCTTTTCAAGCATTATACTGCATATTTCATCGCATACCGAGGAATAATATCTGGCGTTGTGGATTTATCACAGAAGTTTACGGTCGTGCAACGTCAAACAAAGGTGGTAAGTAAGTTAATCCCACGACTTGTAGCCGTTTTTATCATGCTGTGTTAGCAAACAGTAGTGCTCAGTGTGTATCTGGATGGGACTAAAACGATTTTGTACAACGTGTTTAATAGTTCAAGTTGTGTTTATTTGTCAAATGCAAGGTTAACACACTAGACTCGCTTAAAAAAAACAAAGAACAAACAAACAAGAAATAAGGAAATGCAATAAGGGTACAAAAATAAAGTACTAAAAAGTGAGAAATTAATTATAATATTTACAACGTCCTAAAGAGAGAATAGTAAACAAGAACATGGTAGAATTTTAACGGTGCAACCAGTATGGATTTGTATTAATAAGTATTTCAAGGTAGAAAAATAAGCTTAAATGGACGCGCTATATAGTGAACATAACTAACAACACTTCTAAGCACAGTATGTAGAGTACACCACTGAGTAAAACATGTTGCAGTGAGGGAAAGACCGGACCTAGAGTCTGTGTTTCTGTAGGATCGTAGCTGTGCTCAGACCCTGGAGTTTCTGTAAAAAAAAAGATCTGTAGGTTAAAGATAACTCTGATCACAGAGTAGTAGTTAAAAATCTGCTGAACTGACCTGATGACACTAATAATAAAACAGGGACATGTTGGTCACTGTGTTAACCTCCTCTCTTACAAACATTTAGGCCAATCCTGTAAATGCATTTCTGTTGGGTCTGAAAGTTGTACAGGCGAGTTCAACTTGCTTCTGAGACGTTGATGTTTTCTGCTGTTGTCAAGTTGGAAACTGCTTTTTAAACCCAACAAGTTATCTTAAAAAATATAAAATTTTATTAAAAATGACACAAACGTAATCATCTTCGAGCAGGCAATCAGAATAAACGAGCAGCTATGGACAACCACATGGTGGTGCTGTTGAATTTGACTCAGCTTTCCTTACAGCTTCAACAAACGGCAAAAAGAAAATCGGGCTAAATATCATTCAGAGGTCTGAATCTTGCCACCTACAGGGATCTGTTACTGAGAGACACCAGCGGCTCTTCAAGGTGACCCGGTCCTGTGATTCATTGTGATGAGGATCTAAACTACTCACCCCCCCTCGGTACGAGCCAGAGCCCCTGTCAGCGCCTAAATAACAGCTCTACATTCACCTCCAGCCAAACTGAATTAGCTTTCCTGTGATTAGTAGATTAGCTCTGAATTTCCATATTGCTTTTATTAGCACCGTGTCCTGGACAGGCCTTCCAGATACTAGTTCAAGGTTAAAACGCTCCTTGCACACAAAAATGCACACACACCTTTCGCCCTCTGTGCTGACGGCTGAAAGTCTCGTCTTACTTTTGAGCTTAAAAAAGAACTTTGTAGTTTATTTCAATGACAATTTTCAGCGTTAATGTAACGTTTTCTTCACTGCGCCTAAAGTTTTGTGCTTTCAGCAAGTGTGAAAATGCGTTTTAACTATATGTCTATAATAACGTACAAAATATGTGCTTGATTAGGGTTTACTGGGAGGGGTTTATGGTTAGGAGGTCATTTTGTGAGTGATCAGTGGATGCAGAGTATAAAAGCTGGTTGAAACAGAAAAAACCTGCTCATCCATTCTTCTTCAAAACTACCGAGCATTTATCTCTTCATAAAAACATTAAACAAAACGCACTGAATGATGACTGCACACAACAATGATCAGTGGGTTAGAAAAGTTAGTTGTGACTTCTTGTTTTATTGCACCTTTTAAATCCACTTTAGCGGAGATGTGAGTTAAGACAGTTTTAAAGAAAAAAAGACAATGTCTTGTGTTAGTGATACAGCACAAAGTCTTAATAAAAATGTCAGTGCATAAAAAAGCTCGACAAATATATTAGAAGCTTTTATCTTTTTAATGCCAAGAACTGAACAAGATTTAAAACAACCTTAATTGGAAAAAAATGAAGCTAATGCCAGGGGCGATTCTAGAATCTGCGCTTTAGGGGTGCACAGCCCCCAGTGTTGACAATGGCTCTTGAACAACGCAGTGTCCATTGATGTCATAAGCATTTGTAATTTGATGTGGGGGGTCTGGGGGTCCTCCCCCATAAAATTGTAAATAAATTAGATGCCATTTCCTGCAATCTTGTGTATTTTAACCAATTTTTAAACATCTACGTTTACCTACATATGTAAATACTTGATTCAATATCTATTTTAGAGAGCACGGCACAACAAGAAGCTAATGTTGAGCTAATATTACTACCTGTGAAATACATCCATCCATTATCTTTACCCGCTTCTTCCTTTTTCGGGTCGCAGAGGTCACTGGTGGCCATGTCCAGCAGTCACTGTGCGAAAGGCGGGGGACACCCTGGGCAGGTCTCCAGTCCATCACAGGGACACATAGAGACAAATGAGACAAACAACCATTCACTCTCTCACTCACACCTAGGGACAATTTAGAGTTACCAGTCAGCCCAACATGCATGTTTTTGGTCTGTGGGAGGAAACCGGAGTACCCGGAGAAAACCCACGCGTGCACGGAGAGACCATACTCCACCCAGAAAGGTCCCTGGACCGGGGTTTGAACCGGGCTCCCTGTTTGCTGAGAGGCAGCGGCTCTACCAACTGCGCCACTGTGCTGCCCCCTGTGAAATACTTATTTATACTAATTCATCCTACTTGCACAGTTATATTGTTTACTACTCTTCTTTTGGACCTTGTAAATATATTTCTTTTTCATTTTTTAGTACTTTATTTTGAACTTTTATTGCAAGCTTTAGAATTTCTTTTTTTTTTTAGCGAGTCCAATTGGTTCTTCTCATCCTGAACATTTCATTGCATTGTTGACCTTGTGTTGACCTGCATATGACAAATAAACAAACATAACAAGAAGTAGCCTGACCAACAGCTCTCCTTGTGTGCATGCTCTGCTTCTCTCACACATCCTAACACCCCTCCACCCCCCCACCCCCAATCTCCTGCAGGTAAGGGGCGTTTCACTTCAGGACAAATTGAGATTGCTGATTGGTCAGTGGCTGATGAGCCTACTGGACTGACAGACAGGTGGCATCGAGGATCCTACTCATGCAAAAAAAATTCATAGATTTTACTGGCCCGTTTAAGAGTGTCATAATTTATTCCAAATTTATTCAATATTTTTGGTGAATCTAAAGTTTGAGAACTAAGCTTCCTTACAAAATTCTAGGTTTCTTAATTTTTAGGGGTGCTGAATTAAAATTTTGGGATGCTTGAGCACCCCCAAAAAGAGGCTAAAATCGCCACTGGCTAATGCTAAGTTGTTTAGTATCATTAAGAAAGGAACATGGCTATCCTCGCTTTGTCCCAAATCTACAATTTCTTTCCTAATATGCTCACACAACACATAATACACGTCTTTGCCTCGCACAATAAAATAAGACAGAAATATTAGATTTATAAAAGACAACAAGCTCAACAAACTAGCTTAGACTGAATTTCCCCTCCATTTTCAGTCTTTAAGCTAAGCCAGTCCTTCTCAAATAGTGGGGCGCGCCCCCCTGGGGGGACTCGGGGCAATGCCAGGGGGGCGCATGTGACCCTAGAAAACATGCTTATTTTGCCGCAAGTAGTAGGTTTTTTTTTAACCATTCTCATTTTGTCGTGTGCGTTCCTAATAATAAATTTATGAACAAATATGGCTGCCTTGTCGTTTTGGGAGCCATGCATGAACCGTGTCTCTCCCCTCTGATGCTGACACAATAAATAAACTCCGACCGTCACCTCCTCCGTCTTCCGCTGCTGTTTTTATGTCCATGCGCTTTGGACTGGACGTCACTCACAGCGCGCATGCAACAACAAGTAAACTCAAAGCGAGAGCGACACCTGCCCCCTCTGTCCTCTTTTGCGTTGACAAAATGTTTTGGTTTTATCGATGAGTTTGTCAAAGCACAATTTACAGAAGTAATGTTTAATAAATGTTAGGACTCTATTCTTTGCTAACAAAATAAATTCACCCCCTCAGTTAAGCTGCTGTTTTTTGATGCTCTGGACGCTTGTCACCCACAGCACGCAGGCGACAAAGAGTAAACTCAAAGCGAGAGGGTTACCTGCTCCCTCTTTCTTCTTTAATGTTGACAATTGTTTTTAGTTTTATTGATGAGTGT